ACAACTAGATACAAATAATGAGTTACTTCTGATTAATTCATTTTACAACAACCCTAAGGTCTAATTAAGTTACATTATGAATATAACTTTACCAGAGATAATCTTACAGTTTGGGAGGGGGGGCTCCCTGCAATAGGCCAGCTGCTTATAGTGTTCTGATAATTTGCACCAGGGAAAAGATTAGTTACTTTTGGAGACTGAGAAACGGGTTCCTTTTTAAAATTGCGGCAATAATAGGAACTCATTACTTTTGGAGTATGAAGGTTAATTGTAAGTACTTTTTTAAAAATGAATTTCAATTAAGAAATGCAACTGAATTTTGCACAAACAGGAGGAGGAGAGGTGGCAGGAGAGGTAAAACTGCCATCTCCATGAATATAGTTGCCAAAAAGAAACAAGAAAAGATTGCCAAAAAGAGAAAAGCACAGGCACCCATCATGAGTTGGAAATTGCTTATCCAACAGTGCCTAGAGCTATTGCACGATACTGCTTGTGTGGTTTAGTGCCTCTTGCCCATCTTTGTATGCATCCTGAGTACTTTTTCATGAAGCTCCTGGGAGCATTTTAAAGGCCAAACAGAAGTACAAGAAAAACTCTCTAGATCAGATCAGTCTCATCCAGGATCCTATGACCAGCCAGATGCTTGTGAAGACTCCAAAGCAGGAATGTTTAGAACTCACCTCTCTCTCTAGCCCCCTCATCTTCCCCTATAATTTCCTGGTGCTTCTCCTGACAATATCTTCTATATTTTCAGAACTGTCCTCCTGTCTTAGAGCCTTCTAAAGTCTGCAGCACTTGATCCAGGACAGATTTTTGTTACCAACAAGGGCATGTTATTTAATTTCTGTGTGGCATTCACCAATCCCCTACCTTTGGAGAACACGGCCAGAAGCCTGCTGAGATTTTTTTATGCATGGATAAAGCAAAAACATGGAAGTTACAACAGCTAATAGAAACTAATAAATTAGGTGTCAATCACTTGATGGTTGCTGACCTGAGACACATGCAGGGGACATGACTGACACCTTGTCAATTAGCTTCAATTACCTACCATAACTTTCATGTATTCTTTATGCAAGTGTAAAATCACTTATGCAGATACTGTATAAAAATCCAGCTGGATGCTGGCCCTTTCATGTCTGGCAAACTCTTAATAATCCCTGAAACTTGGTGCCACTCTTTCTTTCTTTCTATTGATCGATTGGTTGGTTGGTTGCCAAGACAGAAGCTTCCCATTCTCTCAGATTTCAGAACCAAATCCTAAGACCAGAAGTGGGCCCACGTATTGCCAGAGAGGTCTGAGTTCCCATCATGCCACAACACAGAGAGCCTTCCGTAACAGTTGAAAAACACTCTGCTGTGGGGGGACTGTCAGGAGCGACAGTGAATGACAGAAACAAATGTGGATTTCCTACTAAATAAATATAGGTGCAAGACACAAAGCCAGTAAATTGCCAGTAATGTGAAGACTCTCCAGCAAAACGGACTGCCTCAGACCACTTTATTTAAACTAACAGCTCTCATGGCAATTAGAGATACAGAGCCCCAGGACACCAGGTCCTCCTGTGACATAAGGCAATCCAATCATACATTAAGCATTTTATAGCTTTGATGCTAACTTGTTCATGTCTTTTGCGGTTTTGTGCTGTCCCAGGACTATGGTGAGATGTTCCACATGTGGTCAGCTGTTGACTGATATAAAGCTGCCTAGCACATGAGTGATTAAACAGTTCCTGCTTTCCAGCCCATTTATCCTCATGTCGTCTCTCTTCCCAACAGTCCTCGTTGATGTCTGTGAGGCCTACTGTCCTGAACCAAAGTTTGCACTACATATCAGGCCTACATGCTATTCCCATCCCAATGTGCCATTCCCATCCCACATTTTCATTTTCCTCACAAAACGTCGGAGTTCTTGCAGAGTGAAGAGCAAATGGGCAGCCAAATATGGGAAGCAATGTGATAAAATTTTCTTGCCCTCCAGCTCAGCTTATCCAACAGCTTGTAGAAAATCATTACTGCTAAACCAGGGGTGGGCAATTAATTTCTATAGGGGGGCCACATAAAAAATCTGAACTGTGTTTGGGGGCCGAAACAACTTTACTTAAAAATAAAATGAAACAGTGATGTTATGATTGTTTTTATTTTAAACTTGTTAATCTTCACAAATACTAAAGATGTTTTTTTGCGGTATGTTAAAGATAAGCAACTGATCAACTTTAGATAAAAAGCTACAAATGGTTTTGATGTTCAACACTGTCCGGGGGTCGGACAGGAGCAGCTCGCGGGCCATATGTGGCCCTTGGGCCGCACTTTGCCCAGGTCTGTGCTAAACCCACTCCAAAAAAATGGTCTGAAGTTCAACGTCAAAAAACTAAGATCCTGGCCACTGATCCCATCACCTTCTGGGAAATAGAAGGGGAAGATATGGAGGCAGTGACAGATTTTACTTTCCTGGGCTCCATGATCACTGCAGATGGTGACAGCAGCCACAAAATTAAAAGTCGTCTACTTCTTGAGAGGAAAGTGATGGCAAACCTAGACAGCATCTTAAAATGCAGATATCACCTTGCCGACAAAGGCCCGTATAGTCAAAGCTATGGTTTTTCCAATAGTGATGTATGGAAGCAAGAGCTGGACCATAAAGAAAGCTGACCACCAAAGAATTGATGCTTTTGAACTGTGGTGCTGGAGGAGACTCTTGAGAGTCCCCTGGACTGCAAGGAGGACATACCAACCCATTCTGAAGGAAATCACCCCTGAGTGCTCACTGGAAGGACAGATCCTGAAGCTGAGGCTCCAATACTTTGGCCATCTCATGAGAAGACTCCCTGGAAAAGACGCTGATGTTGGGAAAGTGTGAGGGCAAGAGCAGAAGGGGACAACAGAGGACGAGATGGTTGGACAGTGTCATCGAAGCTATGAACATGAATCTGACCAAACTCTGGGAGGCGGTGGAAGACAGGAGGGCCTGGCGTGCTCTGGTCCATGGGGTCACGAAGAGTCGGACACGATTAAATGACTAAACAACAACAAATCCACTCTTGGTAATAAAATGACAAATATTTCCAAAGATATGGGGGATCAAGTTATCCTATGGCTTCGTAACATAATATCATGCAGACTCCTTTCCTGTGGCAACAGTCACAGTTGCAACCACAGAAGATGGTGCAAAGGATTCAACATTTGGTGGGTGACCATGAAATCCATCTCACTATATGAATAACTCTGTAAGGTCCTGATCAAAATGTCCAAGAGAATTGCTTCAGTGATCATCCCTAATGATTCAAAATCGGAATTCAATAGGAGCATGGAAATAGGTTTCTTCACATCATTTTCTTCCCACCTCAGTTTTGAACCTGGTTGAGGGTTTATGTGTTTACTTCTTGCATTCCAATTCATACATGTTGTTTGTGAAGTTTGACTAATATGCGCAGTTACTTACACATTTACCAAATGTACACATTTAATTGTGCAGTTTATCTAATTTGCATGCTTCCCCCACCGATCGAAGCATGTGCCTTTTGGGTTGTCATACAGATGTCTGCTGTTTACCTGCCCGCATCATTTTATAGATGCTGTGTTGCTCATTGCTCCTGATCTGTAATCCTTGCAAAGGTTTAAAGTCCGGGGTTGAGGCATAGTTCTTCTTATCACAAGTCTCAGCAAGTGTGAAAATGTTACGGTACTTTGGTGGCACTGTTGAATCTGAAGCTCGTTTCTTCCATCCCCAGAGCCAAATGTAGATAAACACTACTGGGCTGGTGAAAGGTGACTTTCCCCTTTCCCATAAGATCTCCTTGTCTCCCACCTCCATACCTAGAGGATCAGCAAACACTGCTGGAAGAAATAAACTGTGGTGTATGGGGAAGGAGGATCTCTGGTGGCTAAGTAGAGACATTTGCCATGGCAGAAGTCTGTCCACAAGTAGATCACTCTGCTTTATAAGTTTTAGCAAGAACAGCCATGGACCTCCAGATATTTCTGTTTGTACCATACATGTAGGATAACATGTATGATAACATAACAGCAAGCACAGCCAGAAGAGGTAAACTGTGGTGTATGGGGAAGGAGGATTCCTTATGGCTAAGTAGAGACATTTGCCATGGCAGAAGTCTTTCCACAAGTGGATCACTCTGCTTTATAAGTTTTAGCAAGAACAGCCATGGACCTCCAGATATTTCTGTTTGTACCATACATGTAGGATAACATGTATGATAACATAAAAATATAATGTGTACTGTCATGTTGATTCCAATTTATGGCAGCTCCTTCCAGAGTTTTCTAGGTACACAATATTCAGAAGTCGTTTCTCATTCCCTTCTTCTGGTGGTGCCCTATGACTGTGCATCTTGCCCAAGGCCACACAGGCTGGCTTTTATCCCAGGAGGCAGTGGAAGATTGAACTGCCAGCCTCTGGCTCTGCAGCCAGATACCTAACTCACTGAGCTAGCCAGACAGACGTACATGTGTGAGTGTGTGTGTTTGTGTGTGTGTGTGTGTGTGTGTGTGTGTGTGTGTGTGTCCTTAAATTTAAAGTAACAGAACATCCAATTATCTCTGTTATCTTTGCCTGCTGCAGGATAAGCCAACACATCTTCTCTGAAACAGCCCATGTAATTTAAAGGAACACACTGATTTTATCACATTTATTTTATTCAGCAACAATTAAACTTTTTGAATTTCCAGAGTTTCAAAGCCAGCGGTGTCAAATCCTGAGTGTCCAGATTTTGTGTTTGGTGGCAATCACTTGGTTCATTTGCTTTTCAATTTGTAAGCACTGTCACAAACAGGTTTCACTCAAAATTCCCTTCATAACTTAATTTATAAAAGACTTTGCATGCTACATTTTTGTAAATCACAGATGGCATAGCTAATATAGACTCTCTGCCACAAACACACACCCATACGTACGCATGCACGCAAACACACACACAGTTTTCTTTCACCCAGATATCAATTCTGATATTGTCAGAAGCACTCTACACAAAGGAAACCACTCCTTAGCAAGAAATGTGTATTTAATTAAATGCTTTGCAAAGATACATGAATAAAGCTATGCTTATGGCTTTTCTCTCTTTTTTTTATGGGTTTAATTTTTTAAAAAAGAAATAAACAAGAAAAGGGAGAGCATAATTCTTCAACAAAGTAACAGACCACAGAAGTAGGCTTGTACCACATGCTCTATGGGAGGGATAAAAGGACATGCTGATGTACACAGCATTCGGTATATGGTATAACCATAAAGGGGGAAATGTCTTGTTAGACATTTTCCCCAGACACCCGAAATCTAATATCTAAATTCTATCAAAAACATTGATGGCAATGGCCTTTCATTTTCTTAGGATTGTACAGAAACTGTTTTAGCACCATTCCCTTCTCAAACAAACAAGCAAAACAAACAAAAACAAACATTATTATTTTAATATGACATTGCCCTGCCTATCTCCATTCTTGGAAAGTGAAACAGAAGCATAGCACCTTATTGTATCTAGAACAAACACTAGATTATTAAAATGCATCCCAGTTTCTAGAGATGAGGTAGCTCATGCTAAGAAATGGTGGACCATTTGTTTGCCCTGATAAAATCCAGGCAGATGAAGTCACAATTTCTGGTGAAGCATGACCGGTTGTTGCACAAAGGTTTACCTCAGCAACAGGAAGTCTCTGATCTTTCTAAGTAATCACTGCTTTCGGATTAATAAATGGAAATACATGACAAGACATGTAAGTGGAAAATGCAGTTGAGGTGTTAGGGGAATCTAGATGTTCCCAGAATTCATTTAGGACTTTTGACCTTGTCCACAGGCCTACAAAATCATAACTATATTCCATGGCTTCCAAGAGAAAATGGCTCATTAAAAGTTACTCATTAAATGGCCAGCCAGATGCCTCCCCAATCAAAATCAGATTGGCATTGATTTTTTTAGACTTATTTTTAAAAAAGCAACACATTTTTAGATGCTTGACATTAATAATCATGGAGATTACATGCTGAACTAAGAACTACATAGAAACAGCAAGGGGGAATCCTAAAATTTTAAATTACATTGAGAAATCAGGGGAACATTGTATACTGTATTTCAAACTTCTGCACTGTGATGAGGTGCGTAAATATATTCCATGAATTATCTCCTTTGATTCAATGCTAGACTGCACAAACACAGTCCATGTTGGCTCTTATACTATCACCAGAACCTCAAGGCAAGATGTATGTGCACCCTTAAACAACTGCCCCCTCCTTGTTTCCTGGTGTGTATTAAACAAACACTCTTAAGTGGATGTTAAATCTGGGAGCAAACAACGGATTTTCTGCTTGCAAAGCCTACGCCCCCATTTCTGCATTTTAATATAACAGTGCACTGAAGGAATTGATGGGGGTGGCAGTAGTGAAAACATGGGTGGTGTTCTTTTGCGCTACCTTGGCATTATTATGATCGTGCCCATTCTGTTAGGTGACGCTGCCACCAGCAGAATATTGGAGAACTTTCAGGTTATCCAAAGAAAGTGAAATGTCAGCTTGATAGGGGAAAATTCTCTCAGGAATCCTTGGGCCAGGAAATATTATATGGTATGAGATGGTGGCAGATAACTGGAATCAGAACTGAGAGTATAGCTGAAAACAGGGAGGAAGGAAGGATACTCGAAGGGAAGGATATTAAATCCTATAAACGGGGTTGGAGGTATGAATTTGAAGTTGCCAGAAGGAAAATGAAAAGGGAGTTCTGGAGACTTGTGGACCTGTGAGCCCAGAGGCCCTAAGGTTCCCCTCTCTAGACCCTGAGAAGGCCTCCTGTACCTTGTAAGACTGTGGGGAGAACTCTGCCAAAGGTGGCTACCTCCTTCACTGCCGTTCCGTGACTTCGCGGTGTCAGTAAGAACCAAAAAGTAACTCTAACCAATGAGTTCTTGGGCACTGGCTGCCATTCAATACCTACATGCATGGAAATAAGCCAAACTCCCTGGAAGCTTGACTTCTGAGGAGAACCATATCAGATTGCACTGCTAATGTCATATTCTGTTATGTTCCACTGGTGCAGCAGAGAGTTCAATATGTCCATTTCTTTAGAATACTTGTATCATATGAATTACACTCCTTTTTAGCTGAGTAGAAACCTCCCCCCCCAATAAAAGCATAATTGTTACCATTATTTATCATTAAAAAGTTACTTATGTTTGCATCAAAGAGTGGTCATTTGTCCTTTAAAGTCCTATTACTTCCTCAAAATGTTGACTTGGGACAATTAGACTAAAGATTTGTAAGTAAGTACAATAAATATCCTAAAGAAGGCCAGGGAATTAGAAGGAACTGTTATGTACAATGCTGATCCCAATATCAGCCATTACTTCAAGAGTCTCAGGATTAATTTCACTCACTGTGAGTTCGTGTGTTGCTGTTGTTCCCAATGCTTTTGAGTAGGCAAGATTCCCCCCCTTTTTATTTATTCACTTGTTTTTTTGTTTTATTCGTTTTTTTACACAAAACAAACCGGTCCAATCTCTATTCCGAACTCTTGGTCTACACCTCCAACATCCACAGGAGCAATGTCAACAATAGGCAAGCGTGCCACGTTCTGTGTTCGGTATTCAAAGATAGTGCTGCCCACGTTTCCATTCCGTTTCTAGAACAGAAACAAAAAGAGAATAGAAACCACTCCAAAATCACATTCCATGTAGACAAAGAAGAACATGGAAAATCAAGCCCTATGGGGAAAGACTGGAAGAACTGGGCATGTTTAGCCTTGAGAACAGAAGACTATGGGGAGATAGGATAGCACTTTTCAAATACTTGAAAGGTAGTCATACAGAGAAGAGAGACAGGATTTGTTCTTGGTCATCCCAGAGTGCAAGACACATAATAGTGGGCTCAAGGTATAGGAAACCAGATTTAGGCTGAATAACAGGAAAAATGTCTTAACTGTTAGAACAGTACAACAATGGAACCAATGACTTTGACAGGTGGTGAGCACTCCAATGCTGGAGGCATTAAAGAGAAATGTAGAGAAACATCTGTCAGATCTACTTTGATTTGTATTCCTGCACTGAGCAGGGGGTTGGACTTGATGGCCTCATAGGTCCCTTCCAACTCAATTATTCTACGATTTTATGAACATTAGGTCTTACTAACCACACTGTGATGTACTAACTCCAGTTTAGGGGCAGAGAACATGTGGTGCTTCGGAAGTTCTTGAAGTCCAGTTCCTATGTGCCCCAGCCAAACATAATGGCAGTGGCAGTCCATCAATGCCTAAACGCTCAAAGCTTGGAGTGCTAACCACCTCCTGAGACAATTGGTTCCATTATTGTACTGCTCTAACAGTTAAGAGGTTTTTCCTGATATTCAGTCTAAATCTGGCTTCCTGTAACTTGAGCCCATTATTATGTGTCTTTTATTCTGGAATGACGGAAAACATATCCTGCCCCTCCTCCTGTCTCTCTGTACCTCATAATTAATTCAATAAATTATGGACAATAAAGGACAATTTAGAAGAGAACTTACAGTGCAGCTGTCATGAAGTACAGTGTATCTAAACCGGTTGTTTCCTTCAGCTTTAATGTCAAGGTCATTCGCTCCCTTCAAAACGACAGCCTTCTTCAGATTCTTAGCTTGGTCATCCATGTAGCCTACACTGTTCTTGCAGTGGTAGGTAATATTCTGAGAAGCTTCTTTGGACAGTAAGCGCAGGAAAGTCATTTGTGTAACAGCCGTGTTAGGAGACTGCTTGTCACCATAAGCAAACTAGAAAGGCCCAAGAAATACAAATCAGTTTATAGTCCTAGAAGATATTTAAAAAATCAACCACTTTCTGATTGAAATGTAAATACAGTGGTGCCTCGCATAGCGAACGCTTCGCTATGCAATGAAACCACACAACGAGGGGTCCCGGGCCATCGCTGGAGCGTTCGTTCAGCGATGGCCCCTATGGGCTTTTTTCGCTCTTTCTGATTGAAATGTAAATAATAGTTTGTTAAACTTCAATTGTAGAAATAAACTTCCACACAAAATACCTATTACTTAGTCTGAATATACTAGCTGAAATCCTGTTGCGCTGTTAAACTTCTATTGTAGAAATAAACTTCCGCACAAAATACCTATTACTTAGTCTGAATATACTAGCTGAAATCCTGTTGCGCTGTTGAGCAACAGGCCTAACGCGGGAAGGCAAATTGTCATGACAAGAAATCTTTGTAGGCATTTCTCTGTGGCATGTCAGGCTGCACAGGTCCATATGCAACAGACCATGCCTACAGAGATTACTTAACTTGCAACAATTTATAACCCAAAGTTATATCTTTTACATAACTGTGCAACAGGATTCTGGCAAGTGATTGATGCCAGTTACGTATTTTCATAGATTTGGATTCAGATATTAGTCATGTTTCGCGTGGAGTGCCTGAAATCAACTGGACTTATCATTAGCTAATATGTATCACTGATTTCAAGGGGTCTAGTGACATACAATTAATTGTTAAGACTCTAGTCTGAGTACAATTAATTGTATGTCAACTCAACATGTTGTATATGACTCAACTGTTTTTATGTTCCAAGCTTTAAGGCTACTTTGAGAATTCTGGTTGAAGATAGCTAATAAATAATTTAGTAAATAAAATATATGGTGTATTAAAATTAGACATATTCATAATTAAATGTTCACTATTTTTTTTTCATCCATACTTCTATTTTCAGTATGAAGTTTTCTTTTTTAAAAAATGGAAGAAATCATTTAAAACTCTCCTAGAGAACAAGATAAGTGCCCCCCAGATTATTTATGTAATTACCTGTGAACCTCTATTCATGTCAAGTCCATACCATATGGGTTTTAGATCAGATGACCGGCTAGTCCACCATGTTTTACGTGGAACACTAGCTGGGTTTGCAGATATACACGTTTCCCCTGTTTCCATATTGCAGAATACTTTGATGGCGTCTTCAACGCAACCCTGATTAGGATCAATCCAATATTCTCCTGAAAAGGCAAAATAGTAAAGCTTGAGGATTGTCTCGCCAATGCTTCCTGGTTCAAGCTGGATTACATTTTAGCAGACACAGGGACATTAGCAAAAAATGAAGTTAACTTGGTCATTATTGAGCAAAAAATCTAGTTGCATTTTCTGTAGGTTGAAAAGAGAGTGCTGAAGTTGGTGTTTAAATTTACTTTGCATTACTATATGAAAAGCATTACCAGAATGAAGGTGAAAAATGTGACTCATTATTTTATTCCTCTCTTGCCTCTATTTACAGCTCTGGGCAGAAGGAAACACCTGCAAGAATTTTTGAAAACCATATTCCTTATCCACACAACCCAAGCTCTGTCTCCTTCTTTCCCTTTTTGCCCCCCTTGTAATCTCGTCTCCTAACCTTTATACTTGTACAAGCTTAATTTGATATTCTTTTCATCAGGATGGGCAACAGGCATTATTGAGTGGGAGGAGAAATGGGTTTTATTATGTACTCCATTGATAAACCTGTCGCCTGGCAACAGCCTTCTTTTCCTACACTTTCCCACATGTGACTAACTAAACACTGGAGAAATGTTGAGGCAAAAAAAACCCTCCAAAGCAAACCATAGTTAAATTGCCCAATTAGATTAGAAAATGTCCAACTGAATTGATAATTTAACTGATTGTAAAGCACTACAGTCAATCTTTGTGTTTTAATGTTCTGTGGGCAGGACAAATCTATTACACACATCTCTTCCTATTCAAGATTAAATAGAATAATTTTATGAACACTTATATGAAATTGCTGAGTGAATTCTGGGGCATTTCCTGACCTCACTGGAATTCCAATGTATCAAGAGCAGTACGCTAGGGCTAAGCTTGTGGCTAAGTGTGGCTTAAATGGGCATGTTGTGTACATTTACATCTTCCCACCAAGAGTTCCACTGCCTCCCTTTGAACAGGGACAGGACAACCAGAATACGGCAGTTCTGGGTTTTCCCCCAATTTTTGCTGCCAAATATTAAACTGAACTGCCTTCTTCTGGACACAGATATTCTATAAACTCTTTTAAGCAGATTTGAAGTTTCTGGTGGGGTTTTTGTTTGTTTGTTTTAAGAAACTGAGAGAATTGTTTCTACCACAAACTTCCCCACCGTATGAATGACTGCGCTGGTTGGCTGCTTCTTTTTCTTGTATCTTAGGAATATTAGGTAGGAAGCTAATAAATGCCCAGTTCTTTCTACACTGTGATGCTGATGGTACTGAATGTGGGTTGGGGAAGGTTTAAGAGAAAGAAGTCTCCCTAATTTGCTGAACACTGCGAGGCCTGCACTTCTTCAAGTTGAGCTTTAATTTTACCTCAGTCTCCACATTCTGCCTTCCAAAACAGCTGCCATTGGATGGCAAGCATTTGGATAGCAAGCCAACGTGATCATTTTTCTCCCCTCAGCCTGATGAGAGTTAGGTGCCACAGAGGAACGCTTTGGGGAAGCTTCTATACAGCAGATAGGATTGCAGAACGGTTTAAAAAACAAAAACAGAACATTGCCTACCGCTCTTTTTGGATGGCTGGCACAGTCTCAGGTCATCGCAAGTACGAGCCGGATGCTTCTTGGAGCCATCAGGGCTGCGCATCGTTTCAATCTGGCTGCTCAGCGACTTCAGCGTAGCGTGTACTCCCGGATCTGTTTTATTGCTGTCATCCGGGCCTGCCTCATCCTCACTGAACTCTGGTATGGCGTCTACTGGACCATCATCGTAGTGCCCCATAATGTCAAGGGCAGCCGTCAGGTGGCCTGGTGGGCCGGGAGGGCCTGGGGCGCCTGGATCACCTGGGGGACCCTAAAGGCAAAAGCAGTAAGGAAAAAGGGACCACCTCCATGGTTATGCAGCTAAAATACCTGGGACACAAGGCTCATATGAGGAATCAGTCCTGCTCCAGTTACTGCTAGTGATATCTCCTTTCTTCCAGTAGGAAAGCTAATTTTCTATCTTCCAAAACAAAAACTTGCTAGTCTAGTACTGCACCAATAAATGGCTACACTGAAACAAGTGTATTGTTTTAGCAACCAAAACCCCAACATATTGAAAACACAGAGGTCATACGTGAACAACAACATGATAATGAACAATTTTCTGGAGGGTTCCTAGCAGTGAAATCCTATACATGTTTGACCGGGAGAATGCCCCAATCAAGTCAACGGAGCTTAATTCTCATTGACCACAGAGGACAGAATCCTATTGCTTTATAGAAGCAAGTTAATGGCAGTCATGCAAGTGATTCTACCTGCACAGGTGGTGATCCACCATGCTCTCCAGCATTCTCTGGTAAAAATAATGCTGATGTGACCAGCTGTGTGACAGACAGCAAGGAGGTGCAAGTATCACTTGCATGGCTGCTCAAGCAGTAAGGAAAAGGGGGCACCTCCATGGTTATGCAGCTAAAATACCCGGGACACAAGGCTCATATGAGGAATCAGTTCTGCTCCAGTTACTGCTAATGATATCTCATTTCTTCCAGTAGGAAAGCTAATTTTCTATCTTGCAAAACAAAAACCTGCTAGTCTAGTACTGCACCAATAAATGGCTACACTGAAACAAGTGTATTGTTTTAGCAACCAAAACCCCAACATATTGAAAACACAGAGGTCATACGTGAACAACAACATGATAATGAACAATTTTCTGGAGGGTTCCTAGCAGTGAAATCCTATACATGTTTGACCGGGAGAATGCCCCAATCAAGTCAACGGAGCTTAATTCTCATTGACCACAGAGGACAGAATCCTATTGCTTTATAGAAGCAAGTTAATGGCAGTCATGCAAGTGATTCTACCTGCACAGGTGGTGATCCACCATGCTCTCCAGCATTCTCTGGTAAAAATAATGCTGATGTGACCAGCTGTGTGACAGACAGCAAGGAGGTGCAAGTATCACTTGCATGGCTGCTCTAAGAGGCAAAGTTTCCTTGAATAAGACTTTGGCCACTGCTCCTTCACTATAGCTCAGAGGTGAAGCCACTGGAGAAGAGCCACAGATTTATTTGCTTTGTTGAAATTAATGTGTGAACACCTTTTCCTGCCATAAGCGCTCAAAGCAATTCATAACAAAGCAACCCAATTTAAAACAGGGCTTAAAAGACTTCAAAGCATAATGGTGCATCTTTTCAAGTGGTGACATATTTCACGCAGGGCAAAGCAGAGTCACACATTTTCTGAAATAAACTGCAAAGCAATGAAATACCCACTATTGCAAATTATTATTACATATTTTACCTTTAAGATGGAATATCTCAGAAGCTTTACAAAGCACTAAACAGACACACACAAGTATACTCCATAATAAAATCCCTGTTATTTACCTCAGGCCCTGCTTCTCCTAAAGTTCCTCTTACACCAGGAGGTCCAACTGGTCCAAGTGGTCCAGAATTTCCTTCTTTACCAGGAGGTCCAACTGGACCTGGAGGGCCCTGCATTGTGAGATTAATTTTTACATTAATATCATGGGAAGGATTCACAACATTGGTTTTTCCTCTGCCTTCATCAAGGCCTCAAGTGTGTCTTTTCACCTGGCTGTGAAAGTGCAAAGGCATATCCCTCCAAAGAAGCATCCCATAATGGCTGGGCGAGCATTCCAATGCACATCATGCAGTCAGCTGTGCGCTGGTACATGCTGAATCCACCATCAGCTGTTTCTGCACATGGCATCTCCTCACTGCATTGGAATGCAGGCTTCTGGCAAAAGCTTTTACACAGTATTGAGTGGATAGCTTCTCTCCCCCTGAAATAATTTACAGTGCCGGGACAAAAATCCTCATCCTCCATCTTTTCTTTTACAAGCCAAGAATGTGAGGAAGCACTTTGGCTATGTTTTCGGATCCACAAGGGAAACTATGTAAGTGCCATGTAAACAGCTGTAGTGGCAGCTGTTTTGTCTCTTCCTACTCACTTAAAAAAATGAAGATTCCCCACTATTATCATCTCCAGCCAATGATAAATGGGGAGAATTTCAGTTCAGTTCATTTTAAGTAAGGCTTTTTCCAAATATACACATTTCTTCACATGCAGAATGAAAAGAAGTTGAGATTTCTAGAAAGATCAGCTGTGAGAGACATGGAGATGGACAGAGTTGTCTATCCAGGGCCAGAGCCTTGAGCATCCAAGTCTTACTAGTTTATGGTTATGGACATTCAACCACACTTGTGGTGCTAATTCAGATCTCCTGTTTCTGAAAGGTTCCTCATAACTCAGTGATGTAGGTCTGTTGCTGCAGAACCAAAGGTTGGGAGTTCAATTCCCCAGTGTGCCTCCTTGACATGGACTGGACTCCATGATCCATTGAGTCCCTTCCAGTTCTGAAGTTCTAAGATGACGACGACGACGACGATGATTGTATTTAACCTCTTTACAGCAAGCAGATACAATTTGATCCTTTCCCTTCTGACATTGGCTATACATCCCTTCCAGTTCTGAAGTCATAATGATGAGGATGATGAGGATGATGATGATTGTATTTAACCCCTTTATAGCAAGCAGATACAATCTGATCCTTTCCCTTCTGACATTGGCTATACCTATTGACTTTTGCCAGTACAAATGGGGGAGTAATTCATTTGAGTTTATTTTTAAGAATTTACCAAGGTCCAGACATTTATTTGGGACGAAAGGAACTCAGAAGCAAATTTTCTGATCCCTAACTGCAGAATTCCTTCTGTAGTAATTCATGGTCAATGATATAAGAATGTTATATCCTTGTCAGAGACACTCCAGAAGAATGCACAGAGACTATCAGATTTCTCCCTATCAATAGTGCCCCGGGGAATGGTGGCACATCAAAATACAGCACTACATTCCAGTGGCTTGCTGCAAAGGGGGTGCATGCCATCTGCCTGCTGCTTGCAACAGCAGAAAAAACTATGTTTTAAAAAGAAAGTTGTGGGCCAAGCTACTTATCCCAGAACATCCTTAGCCCTAAGACACTTAGGTTTCACTTCCTATTGTCCTTCTCCCAGTATTTTATTTCTCTGTCCCAATGCTTCCTAACCTTGGGTCCCCAGATGTTCTTGGACTATAGCTCCCAGAAATCCTGGCCAGCACAGCTACAGGTCAAGGCTTCTGAGAGTTTTAGCCCAAGAACCCCTGGGAAACCAAGGTTGGGAACCACTGCTCTATTCCCTCAACCCCACCACCCATTCTTTTCACAGTGAACGGAAGATCCTGAAAGTTCAAACTCTCCATTTGGCATTAGCAGACCTAACAAGACCATTTCCGCAGCCTTCCCTTCCAGGTCTACTCCATATCAGTTCCACCCAGATATTTTTCTTTTCCAAAAAGAAAAATGAAAAACTATTCATATTTCAAATGCATACATTAATGGATATATTAATGGGCATATCTTCACTGAACAAAGCACACTTAGGCAGAGTTTGGAAACGTCCAGTGCAGCGAAACGCCCAGTGCGGCTCTGGACATTTTTCAAATACAGTGGGGTCTTGACTTGACGGAAATGCCCAGTACAGTGAAACGCCCTGTGCGGCTCTGGACATTTTTCAAATGCACATATATTGTCGAACACATTTGTTTTTCTTTCATAGGAGACTTTGCAAGCCCAGAAATGTCCAGGGTTCTGAATGCAGGCTGTAACCCTTTCCATGTTTTGTCCAGGAGGTGCTCAATCTCTTTCCATGCTTTGCTTGAGAAGTACAGAGTCTAAAACAATCTATGACAAGTAGACTTTACCAGACTAGATTTCTAATCTCCATGGGCCTTTGGTTCATTTTGGGGTCCAATTCAAAATGTTTCCTCCCTCCCTCCCTCCCTCGCTTGCTCCCTCTTTTTCAAGACCCTCTCTCACTCTAGTAGAGCCAGAGTTCCTGAAAAATCCCCCATCCCTGCATTCATTTACATGAGACAGATTCTTCTATCCCTCGGCAAGCACAGATCACCACACAATCTCTGGCTTGTTTGCTACATGAGCCAGAGTCTGTCCTGTGCTAAGTGAGGGTGCCTTTTGCTTGCAGATGGAAGTAGTGAATCCAACCTTGTGAAAATGGCAGGAAAAGAGGAACTGCATGAAGCATCACACCTATGGTAAAAACAAAGAGGACTTTGCCCCCAGACATTAAAGTCTCCCTCAAAAGTGGCCTTGCCAGAAAAGGCATTATAAGCAGCTGCAGGGGATGAATTTTTTTCAGAGCTAACACCCCACCCAAGGAATGTTTGCCCCAGAAGGGCTCCAAACTTTGAATCTTCCATCTTTCTAAACGTTTTAAAAGTAATTTCAGTCCACCTTTATTCTCTGCTGTCCAAATTTAATGCTGTGCTTTAGATATTTTGGACTTCATACTTATTTCCCTTTATGTTGAAAGTGGCCCTCAGCACCTTTTAGCTTTGGAGCGGGCTGTGAATGCTGCACCCCTTGACTAGTAATCTTGTCAAAGGGTGCAGAATGGCAATGGGGCAGGAAACATCGCCATATTCTGAGCCAGTGCTTTGGGCTTTGCTAACACTGAAGCTTGGTTT